CCCCGCTGGAGCGGGCATCTTCTTTGTGGAGAACAAGGACCATTCCCTTCGCCCCTGTATCGATTATCGGGAACTGAATGCCATTACTGTCAAGAACCGGTACCCATTGCCCCTTGTTCCTGAGCTCTTTCAACGGTTTCGCAGCTCTAAGGTCTTCTCCAAGCTTGATCTCAGGGGGGGCCTACAATCTGGTGCGGATCAGAGAGGGCGATGAGTGGAAGACCGCCTTCCGCACTAGATTTGGGCACTTCGAATATCTTGTCATGCCCTTTGGGCTCTGTAACGCCCCTGCCACCTTCCAACATTTTGTGAATGATATTTTTCGGGATTATCTGGACTTGTTCATGATCGTTTATCTGGATGACATCTTGGTGTTTTCTCCCACACTCGAGGCCCACCGGATCCATATGTGCCAAGTACTTGCCCGTCTGCGCACCCACAAGTTGAATGCCAATGCGGAAAAGTGTGAGTTCCATAAAGGCTCCATTCAGTTCCTCGGACTGATCATATCCACGGGGGGGCATCTCCATGGACCCGCAGAAGGTGACAGCTGTTCTTGACTGGCCGGTGCCGTTGGACCGTAAAGGAGTGCAACGGTTCATTGGCTTTGCCAACTTCTACCGGAGATTCATTCGGGGCTTCTCCTCCATCGTTGCCCCCATCACTAGGCTCACTAGGATGGGCCCCCGGTTTGAGTGGTCCCCAGAGGCTCAGGCTGCCTTCGATGAATTGAAACGTTTATTCACCTCTGCTCCTGTGTTGCGGCACCCTGAACCGGCCTTGCCTTATGTATTGGAGGTGGATGCCTCTGAAGCTGCGGTGGGGGTCGTCCTCTCACAACGCCACTCGGCTACAGCACAATTGCACCCCGTGGCCTATTTCTCCCGGAAACTGTCACCGGCTGAAGCCAACTATGATGTGGGGGATCGGGAGCTCCTTGCCATTAAGTCAGCCCTAGAGGAATGGAGGTACCTCCTCGAAGGGGCGGCCCAACCAATCCTGGTCTACACCGACTACAAAAACCTGGAATACCTACGCTCGGCAAAACGACTAAGGCCCAGACAGGCCAGATGGGCTCTCTTTTTCACTCGCTTTAACCTCCACATCACCTACCGACCTGGATCTAAGAATGTCAAACCCGATGCTCTGTCCAGGATGTACCAGTTATCCGAAGACCCAAGGTCCACTTACACAGTACTTTCTGCCCGCAGCTTCCTCCTGATAGGAGCTGACTTGCTCTCCAATTTAAAACAAGCTTCCTCGACTGACGTCTTACCCTCTGGAATAGCGCTGAGAAACAGGGCATATATCTACACGGTCAGAGAGGGATATTCATCTATCTTTGTTGTCGTTGACCGATTGACCAAGATGGCCCACTTCGTGCCCATGATCGGTACGCCTGCAGCCCCGGGGACGGCACATACTTTTATCAAGGAGATTGTCCGCCTCCATGGTGTCCCTGACAGCATCGTGTCGGATCGTGGGGTCCAGTTCACCTCCCGATTCTGGAAAGAAATGTGCACCTCAATGGGGATAGAATGCTGTTTCTCCTCCGCTTACCACCCTCAATCTAATGGCCAGACAGAACGCACTAATCAGACCCTTGAGCAGTACCTGCGCTGCTTCTCCTCTTTCACCCATGATAATTGGGCCTCGCTTCTGCCTTGTACGGAGTTTGCATGCAACAACTCCGTGCACTCAGCTATAGGGCAGACCCCGTTCTTTGCCAATTCTGGATATCACCCCTCTTTTTCTCCAGTATTACCGATGGGTTCCGCGGTACCGGCTGTCCACGACAGGATTAAGTCGTTCCATGATAACCTTGAAGTGTTGCGGGCCGCCATGTCGAAGGCACAAGCAGACAACAAGACCCGTTTTTACCAAAAGAGGAGAGGTGATCTCGACCTACAGCCAGGGGACAAGGCCTGGTTGTCCACGCTACATCTACTGCTTGCTTGTCCATCTAAAAAATTGGCTCCCCGATTTGTCGGCCCATTTACGGTCTTGAGGAGGATCAATCCTGTCGCTTATGAACTCCAGGTGCCCGCTTCCTATCGGATCCACCCTGTCTTCCACGCCTCTCTTCTTAAAGCAGTGGTCACTGATGCCTTCGGGGACAGGGGTGATGTGCCACCACCTCCTTCAATCATTGATGGTGCTGAGGAGTACGAAGTCGAAGCTGTTCTGGACTGTCGTGGAAGGGGTCCTCATCAAATGGAAAGGGTATGGTCCCGAAGAGAATTCTTGGGAGCCCGAGTCCCACGTCCATGCTCCCGACTTGATCCGCAGAAGAACGCGCGCAAAGGGCTGTCCGCAGAAGAACGCTCTACAAAAGGCTCACAGGAAGTGACACTCTCCAAAAGGCTCACAGGAAGTGATGCTCTCCAAAAGACTCACAGGAAGTGATGCTCTCCAAAAGGCTCACAGGAAGTGATGCTCTCCAAATCATTTCCTTCACTATTTAAACCCAGACTCCACACCTACTCATTGCTGGATTGTCTCTTCAACCGCCCTGACGTCTCCTGATCCTTGTTTCCAGTACCCTTGATTATAGACCCGGATTGACTTCGACCTTGTTTGCCTGCAGCCTGCCTTTGACCTCGGAACGTTTGACCATTCTTGTTTGCCTATACCCTTGACCTTGGATTGCTTCACTGGACTGCCTATGCCTTCTCCTTTTGTACTTGCTCTGCCTGCTCGGTGTGACCTCGGCCTGTTGACCTCGGATATCAAGATTTACAAGACCCTGCCGCAAAACCAAGGAGTGGCCTGCACGGTGGAACCGCCTCTGGCCCTCCTGCCACTCACTGTCTATAAGGACTCTGTCCCCAATACCAGAGTCCCTAGGACACGAGCTGCAAGGGAAGCAGTCCCTTAGACATTGTTGGGGCCGGATCATAGTTTGAAAAATGGGCCGCTCTGGAACGCACCACAATTTGTGTGAATAAGCCCTTACTTAGAGAGTGTATATAAATATTTTTAGCAACTTCTTTAATAAACAAAAACATTTTTGAACATAATTCATTTTTCTTAGCCTGGGACATGTACTAGCATGATTTGTTATTATTTTCTACAGCTCAAGTATTTGTTATTTATTAAAATGAAGGGGCATGCAGACTGCCCTGTCTTACCTCTCGACGGTGGCGTGCAGCTTTGGGAGAGGCAGGGAGATGACATCACATCATATCCCAGCTCTCTTCTTATTGGCCACATTCCAGGAGCCTGTGCTGACGTGCGTCCAAAGTTGGAGGGGCGCAGCCGCACTGGCGTTACGTTGCTAAAGCAAGCCTGGCATTTGGGCTATAGTTTGAGGACCCCTGATCTTAGTCTTCTGCTTAATTCTTTCCTTAACGGATGCCTCATTAGGGAGGCATCCATTAAGGAAAGAATTAAGCAGCTTCAGACACCAGATCACTTTTAGTCAGGCTTTTGATTGTTATGGCAACCAGTCACAATGGTCAGAAGTCTTTAGTGACATCTGATCCCAACATGCTGCAAGCACGTCAGGGACAGTGTCACTAAGGTTATTATTGGCTCTCACTGAGTTTGGGGTAGCCTAATAATCAAAAACTAAATTTAAATCATCAAGCAGTCATAGTGACATCCATTCACAATGACTGCTTGATATAATTGACAAGCCAGTGTTTCTGAAAACTGGCTGGTCATGTCCACACCTTCTCTCCCTGTCAGCAATAACTGACAGGGAGAGAAGTTAAAATGTGTGGGAAAAAAATAACAGATTTGTTTTTTACCCTAAGGGGTTAATTTTTTATTTAATCCCCCGCATGACGGCGATTTCAAAGTAGGTTACTGTCACTAAGTGTGACACTTTGTGACAGTCACATTGTATGCCACCTGTCTAACCTAGTGACCATTATTAGCTTTTAGAGAAAAAAATTAAAATGTTAGCTTTCAGTATTAGGCTGAGAATTACCAAAAAATTTATGAAATCCTAGGAATGCGAGGTGTTTCCAAAAAAAGGACAAATTAATTTATTTTAATGCATTTTTTGTTAGCTGTGCTATTTTTCTAAAAAAACTAATAATCAAAACTGGGGAAAAAGTGTGTTCTTTATGTTTTTTCCTCCTTTTTTTATATTGTATTCATACTAAGTGAGGTGTTAGGCACACATATGAGATATAAATATACATCCCTATCTGTTTAAAAAACAATATATAATATGTGTGGGTGCACTTAGTAAGGTATATTACAGCCGTGGAACAAACGTAAAAAGTGCTTCAGTCATTAAAGGAGAACTATGAGGTGAGTGCTTTTCACTCACCTCATAGTTCTAGCCGACCTGTGACAATGAGACTGTCACAGGTCGGCTCAGTAGATCGAGAAGTGAGCGAACACATACCGGCGTTCGCTCACCTCTCGATCCTCTCACGGCTCTTTGCCGTGACAGGGAGGGGCTGGATTCCCCCGTCCCTGCTCTGATCCGCCAGCGCTGATTGGCAGATCGGACAGGGGAGGGTACAGCTGGCTCTGCCTCTAGATAGGCAGAGCCAGCTGTCACTCACGGAGCTGGGCGGATCCAGACATAAAATTGTCGGGATCCGCTTCAGCTGCGGCGTCTCAGTATACCCTACAGTACACCCTACTCCGCGAGCTATTGCTCGCGGTGTACTGTGGCGTCTCAGTATATGGCGAGCTGTAGCTCGCGGTATACTGAACTTAGGGTAACGGGAGGACGCTAGCTTGTGTCCTCCCGTTACCCTAAGGAGAACTATGGGGAAAAGCCTTAACCCCATAGTTCTCCTTTTAACGAACAAAAACTGAAAAAAAAGCTCAGTCATGAAGTTGTTGAAAGAGCTCTGTTTTTACCTTTTTAATGATACTAGCTTTTGTCATTATTTTAATGTATTTCAATAGATGACATTAGTCTAGCATGTTGTGTTACCGTATATACTCGAGTATAAGCCGTCCCGAATATAAGCCGAGGTACCTACTTTTACCAAAAAAAATTTAAGAAAGGTTTATCAAACAATAATTCATACCTGCAGCAGGAGGCGTTTAGGTTTTGGGCCACGTTTCCTGCACCCAGCAGCTCTTTCTTTTTCTTCCCTAAAATTATAAAAAGTTTAAGACAGTTCAGAAAAATATTGATATAAAAATCATTCTCAGAACACCTACATACATACAAGTGGCCATATACCAAAATAATTTTTGTTGAACAAATTTACATCGGCAGAGGTGAGAAAATAAATTCTGTCCTGAAAACCCATGGACTACCTAAATGACCACTACTTACTTTTCTTTTCAACTGCTTTAAAGTGACACTAAAAACTCAGAAGTTAGATCTTAAAAATTAATTCAAGTACCTTAACTATTAAGAAAAAATAGGATTTTTGTACTCACCGTAAAATCCTTTTCTCTCCGTTCATTGAAGGACACAGGGAACAGATCGTAGATCATGTACCGTAGGGTATATCACCCCCTGCAGGAGAAAGACGCTAGGCACAAAACAAAAGACTAAACCAGCCTAAGGGCGGCCTCTGCTGGTGGCCAAACCCCCCACCTGCTGACAAGTCTCCAGTAAGTATCAAGCAGTTAGAGTACACACCCAATAGAGAGGGCGGGACCTGTGTCTTTCAATGAACGGAGGGAAAAGGATTTTTTACGGTGAGTAAAAAAATCCTATTTTCTCTTCCGTTCATTGAAGGACACAGAGAACAGATCGTAGATCATGTACGGTAGGGACGTCACCAAGCAGTACCAAATTGAGGGGTTAGCACAAAAGAAAACGGTCCCCAACAAGTCCCCACTAAAGGGCCGCCTGCAAAACCTTGCGCCCCAAGGCAGCATCCGCAGATGCCAAAACATCCACCTTATAAAACTTGGCAAAGGTGTGAACAGAAGACCAAGAAGTAGCGGCCTTACAGAAGTAGCGGCCTTACAAACTTGAGAACCTGAGGCACCATGACGAAAAGCTCAGATGCCCTAACAGCCCTAGTGGAATGGGGTCTAGAGATGGTGGATGAGGACCCGGCCTGCCCCGTCAGAGGTCCTTCCGTAATCACAAACAGGGAATCCGACTCACGGATACAGGCAGTCACAAATAAATCCGGAGAGCATGAACCACATCCAAACAATGCAGTGCCCTCTCCTTTCTATGAACGGGCTCCGGACAAAGAGAAGGCAAGACAATGTCGTCATTCAGATGGAACGTCGCAACAACCTTAGGTCGAAACGACAGGCGAGGACGCAGAACAACCTTGTCCCTATGAAGGACCAACAAAGGTGACTTGCAAGACAAGGCCGCCAAATCTTAAACATTGCGAACAGAGGTAACAGGTACCAAAAATGCCACCTTTTGGGACAGACTCAGAAGAGGAATCTCCATGAACGGGTCAAAAGAAGACCCCTGCAAAACTGAAGGGCCCCAAATTGAGATCCGAAGGCGGCAAGGGAGACCGAACAGGAGGGACAATACGTGTAACCCCCTGCACAAAACTGCGAACCAAGGCATTCGGTGCCAACGGTCGCTGAATAAGAATAGTCAGGGCCGAAATTTGGCCCTTCACTGTGCTCAGGGCCAACCCGTGATCCACTCCACGTTGCAAAAAAGGAAGAATTCTGTTCACCGAGAACAGGAGCGAAGACAGACCACACATCTCACTCCAGGTAAAGTGCGATGGTAAATCTTCCGCGACACAGCCTTGCGGGCCTTGAGCATCGTGAAGATAACAGGATCAGACAAACCACGGTCCTTTAAACACCTGGCTCTCAACAGCTACGCCGGTAAAGCCAACGACTGTAAAGAAGGATGGCACACAGGCCCCTGGGACAGAAGATATGGACAAAGCGACAGCTCACCGCCTCCGCCCAGGGATCCTGGGCCCGGGCCACGAACCGATTGACTTGTCGGTTGAGTCTGGACGCCAGGAGGTCCACATCCGGCGTCCCTCAGCGCAGGCAGAGCTGATGAAAGACCTCCGGATGACACGACCATTCCCCCGGATCCACCGATTGGCAACTGAGATAGTCGGCCTGCCAATTGGCCACCCCCGGAATGTATACTGCGTTAAGAGCCGGAACAAGCTCCTCCGCCCAGGAGATGAACCCTGCCACCTCCAGCGCTGCGGCCACACTTCTTGTGCCGCCTTGCCGACTGAACCCGGACCGACAGGCCCCGAAGACGACTCGTCCAATGCTGGGGAGACAGCCGAATCGCCTGAAGCTTCAGCACATCGATCGACAGAAGAGACACCTCCAATGACCAACGCCCCTGCGTCGTCCACGAGACACCATCCAGTGCATGGGAAGAAAAGAGTTCCCCCCCAACAGCGCCGTAGACCGTAGCCACCAAACGAGGGACACCCCCATCGCCTGAGACACCTGAACCTCCCTGTCCAACGACAAGGGTGACTTGTCCCCCTGCCTCAAGATGTCCCCCTGAAGAGTCCTGGTGTGATGTTGCGCATAAGGTACCGCCTCGAAGGAGGCTACCATGAGCCCCAGTACCTGCATGCAGAAGCGGAAGGTCGACCACCTACAAGACCACAACAACCCTGTCTGAGAACAAACCTCTCGAACATTGTCTGGGGGGAGAAGAACCCGGGCCTGGACTGTGTCCAGAATGAGACCCAGATACTCCAACCGCGTGGACGGGACCAGACAGGACTCCTTGAAGTTCAGAATCCAACCGAACTCTTCCAAGGACCGTGCAGTAACCGCCAGACCCTCCAACAGGGAGGAATACGACTCCGCCTTCAAGAGAAGGTCGTCCAGGTACCCCACAACTGAGATCCCCCGACAGTGCAGCAACGCCAGAATCGGGCCAACACCTGGGTAAACACTCGAGGGGCCAACGCCAGTCTGAAGGGCAGAGCCACAAACTGGAAGTGCTCCTCCCCACTGCAAAACAAAGGAAACGTTGTTGGGAAGGGTAAATGGGGATATGAAGGTAAGCATCCTTGACGTCGATGGACACCAAAAGGACCGACTGACGAAGACAGGCCACTATGGACCTGATAGACCCAAGCTCACACAGGGCTTGGCGAACAAATTGCCTGGGAGCTAAGTGGCGTAAAAAATTTGAAGGAGATTAGTGAGGAGATTAAGGGGGGATATGATTTCCATGTACAAAATGTTTAATGGTGGTAGCAACATTAGCGATAAACTGTTTAAAATTAACTCCGTTACAAAAACTAGAGGCCATCACCTAAAATTGATGGAAAAAAAATTCCAGCACAAGGGGCGAAGGGGGTTCTTCACAGTAAGATCAGTTAGGGTCTGGAACTCACTGCCACAGGCGGTGATTTCAGCAAATAATGTGGAATTGTTCAAGAAACTTTTGGACGATTTCTTAAGGGACCGTAATATACAGGGGTACGGGTACTCCTAGAATGAGATCCTAATAGGTTGGACTTGATGGACTAATGTCTTTATTCAACCTCAAATACTATGTATAGATTCCATCCGCAACTTGCGGATCCTCACAAAGGTGTTCAATTGTTTGAGGTCCAGGATGGCCCGAATCCCCTCCTTCTTGGGCACAGTAAATAGGTTTGAATAAAACCCTTAGAACCTCTTTCAGGAGTGCACCGGGACGATCGCTCTCTGAGACAAGAGGTCTGCCACTGCGCAGTGTAGGTGTGCGAGCCTCTGCAGAGAGAGGCGCGTATTGGAAGGGAAGAACCTGTCCCTGGGACGTGATAGAATTTCTATCTTGTAACCCGCCGAGGACACCAGTTCCGGCACCCAGGATTCGGAGACGCGGGACAACAAGAGACCCGCAAAGAGTCGAAGGCGCCCCCCCCTACAGCGGAAACCGGAGAAGGGGGCAGACCTTCATGCGGAAGGCGGCTTACCAGGGGGCTGGCCAGCTTTCGGTTGCCATGGACGCTTGGGCATCCTGGCCAGGGAGAGGCTTGCTAAACTTACCGCCCTTCTCTGAGGACGGAGGCGACCGAAACAGCCTCTTGTGAGCGGAAAAGGAAAGACACGGCTCGCGCCGCTGATCTCTCAGCCTTCTCAGCCTGAGGCAGAAAAATACTTTTCCCACCCATGAGTTCTACAATTATCTCAGGCAGCGTAACTCCAAACAAACGATCCCCAGGAAAGGGCAGATCCGCCAGAGCCTTCTTGAAAGCCTGAGCAGCAGAGCAGCTCTTCAGCCAAAGAAGTGTAACCGCTGACACCGACACAGTTGTTGACGCCAGCAGAGCAGCATCCAGGGCCGAGTTACTGTCACAGACTCACCTCGATCGGTTCGCTACGGCCACAGCGCATCCTCCCCCTCCAGCGGTGTGCCGTCTCCTCGTATCTGTCACGTCGGCCGGCGCACACAGCTCATCCCACTTCACGCCGCATCCTCCGATAAGACAGCAGGGGATTCACTTGCCCTGCGTTCTAGCGAGGTAGAACGTTGAGCAACGATTCCCCAGCGTCTCTTCACCGCTCTTTATCCTGAGCCTTGTAGTCCTCCTGGTTAGGACTCCAGCAGCACACAGCACCAGGCTCCTCTTGCCCTCTCCCCCTAAGGCTGCAACTCCAGAGTGGTGGACAGCTACTCCTATGCACCACCTAACTAAACTAAATCGCAAGTACCAGTATTGCTACTGTCGTAACCTGCTTACTATCTTGCCAAACTAATGCTTATGAATTGGTACATACTATCATTATTGCCTTAAGGGGACAGTATCATTATCTGGCGATTCCTATACCTTTAATACCAACTAGCTGTACCCTGATTTGCTAAAATCGTTTCTTGTACTTGTGATGCAACAACTACTGGAGACGTATTCGCCTAAACTGTATGCTAACGGGACTTATAATACATATACTGTATGGCGCTAACCATTCTGGTGAAAATGTATGTTGCACTACGGATCTCATCAGGCCCCTATGAATGTCAATTGTGGTATTGATGAATTCTGCAGTTTTTGTTAAACATTTAATTTTTGCTGTTACTCGCCAGTGTACCAGTCTCTGGTACTCAGCTGTATGACTAAATACAGTAGTTGAAGTGGTAACAATCCTAAGTTTATTGGTGGTGTATGATGTATACAGGGTTCCATCCTCACTCTTACTCATTATAGAGTGTCACTGCGAACCCTCCA